AAACAAGAACGCGGAAAGGTGTGTTGATGTCAACGGAGTTTTCCTCACTCCAACTAAAAGCCTCATAATTAACCGGCCAAAGGAAGCCTTGCCTTTGCACGCCACCCCAAACTGCGTCTATGAATTCACCTGCACTTGCTGATGCGAGTGCATTGGCCGTACGCAAAGGTAATTGGCGACCAGGGCTGCTGAACAAGAAAACAATGTACCACGGTCATCCATTACAAAACACTTGTTAGACAGTGGTCATTCCGTTGACATTAACACATCTTTCCGATTTCTTGTTTGAGCACGAACAAACTGGACCGTACGTTACATGGAAGCATCCTACATACCGCGGGAGAAATCCGACCTATGTAAGCAGCTAGACCACATAGTTAATCTTCAATTGCCCTGGTAAATACATATTACACTTTTATTTTTGTTAATACCCCTCCCTAATTTTCGTCCCAAGTTTAAAGTTTACATAACTATTGATCATTTGCCGCGTTAATATGATTTTGTGAAAATTCAAAATGTTGCTTTCTCTTATTGTTTCGTCATTCATGCACAGCGAGGACGCAGTTGACAAGCGCTCTCGAAATTTATTGGCGCAAATAAATTCTGCTGTTTTGACCTGCTTCAAATACTGATTTACACATTCCGCAAGCAGCAACGGGTTTCTTGTAGCGGACATGCGGTCGTTTGTGAATGTTCTTTAAACTAAAGTCTGAAAATATATTTTTGAAAAAAAATTATTCTCTTAATAAAACCTCATTGCCCTCGATCCGGCGCCGCCGCCCACCTGAAAGCGCCGATTCGATAAAGTGCTAGACCCGCTAAACCCTGTCTTTGCCGTACTCGAGCTCATGTTTTTTCTTCCAGTCCAGCCTCGTAGTCCGCTTATGACCGGCTGAAGGGCGACAGAATAAGTCTGAAACAGACTGCGGCAATCTACCCGCACTTTATGTAGTCCCTCTCTCTCTCTGCTATGGTGGAATTTCTAAAAGCATCGGAAATTAACTCTAACAGATGCACCCACAGGACGATATCGTTCCAAACCTCGGTTTCTAATAATACAGAATTTAAATATCTACCATTACTGCAAAAATGCAAATCATGCCAATTTATTCTGGAACCTGGATGCCGGCATGCGTCGCTGTA